GGTTGGGCAGTGCCACACCTCGTGGTGGAAGTCAGGGACCACCTCCTGCCCGCAGTGGGTGCAGTGCGCCTGTGGAACCTGGTTGTACATGACCACGAACGCCGTGGAGACGTTGCCCGGGGGCCGCAACAGCGTGAGCCGAAAGCTGCTGGGTGATGCCAGGCAGCACCTGTGACGAGCTGGTGCGCCGCCTCATTGGCGTGTTGCCAGCTGTGTAGCTGGAGAGTGCTTGCCCGGTTGGGCCGGCCCCATTTCTATCTTTCCCAGAGGTTGGCCCGCAGGGCTTCCTGCAGTCGGTTGCTGACTATCGGGATGGGTAGGTCCAGTACCATCTGGAACAAGGAAGGATTGACTTGAACCCGCGAAAGCCAACTGACCGGAAACGATGATCCCCAGAAGCCCAGAGCCCTGGAACCCTCCGGACCCAAGCCGTAAGCTGCTCCGAACTCAGGCTATCTGGGCAGCCCCATAGCTTTCAGCTGGGGAAAAGCTGAATCTCAAGGTGTTGTAGCCGACCAGGCCAATCTACAGGGCTTCAAGACCATGCAGAATGGGATCGTGCTCCATGTTGCAAAGTCTTCATGTGGCGCCCCGGTGGCTGTGTTTTGTCAGGGTACCCTTTTCAGGTTGGCTTAAAGGGAAGCCAAAAGGAAAACCACTATTTTGGGGGTCTCCCATTTTGACCCCTACCTTGTGTACTGTCAAACAATGGCGCAGTCCTGCCTTGCACATGTGCTGACGTGAACACAGGACGTCAGGTGATTACTCGCACGAAGAAAGAGCTAGGTTGCCGCAATCCCAGTGAAAATTATACTCTGATATTGAATCACAGAGACACAGGATATGAGCCACGGTCAATATTTATGTCCCCGTTGACGGGAACTCGGTGAGTAACTCCCATGTCTAATGTTCTTTTCGTGTGCATGTAACCTACCCACGTCATCCCGTTTGCCGTAGATGACAACGAGGACCGTTGCTGATAACAGAGGCAAATGGCAGTGACGGCAAACTAACAACAATTCGCAGCGATCCACCGATATGGGGGCATTCCTATGAAGCCACCAACTGGTCAGGACAACCGAAGCAAACCCTGCCAACGACATCCTGCTTCAGCTTCTTCCCCAGGACGTACTGAGAGTACTTGGTCAATGCTTTGTTCCTCAAGGAATCGCAGGAAAAGAAGACACAGTCAGGTGAAAGTAGATGGCACCATTCCCCATGGTTTAATAGTTTGACCATCCCCTGCCACAAGGGAATTGTGCCACGCTGGGCTTCTCAATGAAGTGTCGGCGCTAGCCTTGACCCTTTTTGTCCAACCCGATGCGTCCTTTTCGGTTTGGCTTAACAAACAGGTTGGGGGTCATAAACAGAAGTCTGCTGGTTCTTTTGGTTTCCCCTCAAAAACCACCATTTCAGCAACGGTCTCTCTTGCGAGGCTGGTGCTCGGTCATCCGGTGGACCCGTGCCTCAGGCTCGGCTCGAGGCGAATTACCCTCACTCCCACGTGTGCTTTGGGAGGCTACCCATTTGGGTTAGGGGCAACCAAAAAGGACCAAAGCCATTTGGGTATGAGACCGCAGGTTTTAGTCTTCGTTTCCATTTACCAGGGCATGTGGGGCGTACCCACATAGCACCTGCGGGAGGCTACCTGAAACCTCTTGAAGGACGAGGTCCGCATCAGGTGCCACGGGAACGTTGGAGGTGGTGTTTTTCTGTTTAGGGGACAAAAACACAGGAGCGCTTGGTGCAAAACAAGAGAAATCACCGTTTGCAGACACGCCCAGCTGAGTTCCTGCCTGCTTGGCCTTCTGGTAGGCGTATGACCAGTTCAAGAAGACGTCCAAGAGAACCACCCGGTCGCCCTGCATTGCATGGCGAGCCTCTTTGACCAAACCGGGGAATTCGGAACCGCGGAGGTCGAACACATGTATGCCATGGTCAAGACTCAATTTGCTCCCTGGATAAGAACCTTTGTCTTGGTTCTGTCAAATCCTAAACCGAGGGGTTCATGGCCATGCCCATCAACCCAGAGGGCACCGTGGCACATGTTGATCACAACGTGCTCCTGAAGGTCGAATGCAACTCCGAGCCTTCATGCCCAGGTTCTGGAGGGATTTGGCGCGCATCTGACAACGGGGAACGAGTTGGAAAAGCTATAAGGGGCTTGCTAAGGCGGTCACCGCAAGTTCTTGTGATTCTGGGTGTCTTGCTTGTGGCTGTGGCTCAGTCTTGCTCCAGCACCATGCTTCTACCTCAATCCTACTCGTTGGTTGTCATGTGCTTGCAGAATGATAAACGACCTCAGCTTTAACTTCAACCCAGGTGACCTTTGCTCACTACGGGGTTACCACAACATGTCAAACAAAAACAAACAGGCAGGCAGGCAAACAGGCAGGCAGGCAGGCAGGCATGCAGGCAAGCAGGCACGCAAGCAAACAAACGGACGAACAAAACAAAGTCAGCAAGAAAACAAGACAAGCAGCCAACCAACCAACCAACCAGCCAGCCAGCCAGCCAGCCAGCCAACAAGCAAGCAAGCAAGCAAGCAAGCAAGCAAGCAAGCAGGCAGGCAGGCAGGCAAGCAGGCAAGCAGGCAAGCAGGCAAGCAGGCAAGCAGGCAAGCAAGCAAGCAAGCAAGCAGGCAAGCAGGCACGCAAGCAAGCAAGCAAGCAAGCAAGCAGGCACGCAAGCAGGCACGCAAGCAGGCAAGCAGGCAAGCAGGCAAGCGGGCAAGCGGGCAAGCGGGCAAGCAGGCAGGCAGGCAGGCAGGCAGGCAGGCAAGCAAGCAAGCAAACAAGCAAGCACGCACGCGCACACACACGCACACACACCCACACGCACGCAAGCACGCACGCACACGCACGCACGCACGGAGCAAGGCAAGGCAAGGCAACCGACCAGGCTCAGCAAGCAAAGCAGGAAAGCACGCACGCACGAGCAAGCAAGCAAGCAAGCAAGCACGCACGCACGCACGCACGCGCACACACACACACACACCCACACGCACGCACACGCACGCACGGAGCAAGGCAAGGCAAGGCAACCGACCAGGCTCAGCAAGCAAAGCAGGAAAGCACGCACGCACGCACGCACGCACGCACGCACGCACGCACGCACGCACGCACGAGCAAGCGAGCAAGAGAGCAAGAGAGCAAGAGAGCAAGAGAGCAAGCAAGCAAGCAAGCAAGCAAGCAAGCAAGCAAGCAAGCAAACAAACAGGCGAAGCAAGCAGGCGAAGCAAGCAAGCAAGCAGGCGAAGCAAGCAAATAACACGCACGCACGCAACCAAGTACAGGAGGCAAGAAACAAGCAGGCAAACACCATACACAAAACAATGCTCAATCCCATGTCAAAGTCCTGCGACTGGATATGCTATGCTAAGCCTTGTCGCTTGCGAGGTAATCATGTCCACATCTGGGATGATATTGTTGTTTGCCAAAATGGGAATGTCCTTTTCCATGGCCTCTCAAGTCACCCGCAAGCAGCCCAGTTCCCACCCCGACTGGTGGGTTCCAGGGAAACAGTCCCAGCTAACTTGTTGGATGTCCAGCAAAGGTCAAAATCATGACCCCAGCTCGAAAACTGCATAAAACCGAGAGATTTGAACCAGCGTCGCCAGACAGCACAAAATTGAAACGCATTGAACCGCTGCCGCGCCTCTCTTTTGTGGGTGTCGTTCATCTTATGTTTCCTGGCCATCTCCTCCATCACCACCTGGACGTCCAATTCGCAGCCAAGTCTCATTGGGTGCAAATGGGGGTTTTGCCTTGAGGGCGCCCTATTTGGGGTCGGCTTAAAGTGACACCCAAATCGAAAAGCGCGTGCGTGTGTGTCTTTTGCTTGCTCTGCTTTGGACCCAGCCTCGCGCTCTCTTTCCATCTCCAGGCGTGTCCTCAGCCCAGGACCGCAAAGCAGAGTTGCGGTCACATGATCTATCTCCAAAATCGAAAGGTGCAAAAATGGAAGATCTCTGGCGTAGATTTTAAAGGTCGCATTTGTTTTACACTTCAGGCTTCGTTTCTAAGGGTCGACTTCGTTTTGCTGGGCTTTCGCCCTATTCCACCCGAATACATGTCCTTGCGGACTAGTTTGGGGATCCCGCACATTGGCCCAGCTTGTGGTGCTTGCGTGTGTGCGTGTGAAGTGTAGCAGAAGTGTAGCATGGTCATGCTGCCGGCAAAATTGCGCGTTCTCCAGGAGAACATGGGAGAATTGAGCATGGCGTGTCTAAGGGAACCTTTTCGGGTTGTCTTTACGCTTTTTAATGAGGAGGAAGCCATCCCTTTTGGCTCAAATTTAGGACAGACCCAAAGCTATGCAGTTTGGTCGTGTGAGATCACTCTGCAGCGCAATCTGAGCGAATCCTGTGCAGGCCGGCTTGCCTTCTTCAACTTGCCGAGACTTCAGGACTTGAGACTTCTCTGGGAGACTTGAAACCCTACAGTGGATGGAAAAAGCATGATCCAGCTGGCGGGCTTATCCAAGCATTTATCAGACTCCATCCATCCCGACTGGTGCAGGATTTTGTCCATTGACAATAAGATCGTTGGTAAAACAACCTGCAGTAGCTAGCAGCCCTGCAGCATCCATCACTGAGGTTTGTCTCCAGTGATTCCACTTTGCTTCAAGCTTGCCCAACCATCACAAGCCTGGGCCCGGCACTTCTCCCCCTGGGACATCTCGAACCAGCGCCGGAAGACCTGAGGAAGCCGTACGGTACCCCCAGCAGCTCGCCCGGAACTCCGCCGAGACCCGGAACCCAGCTCCCCGAAGCCCTCGAACACCTATCCAACCATTCCGGACCACGCCGGAGCTTTTCTGGGCAAAGACCCCAGGTATGCTTGCCCTGCAACATGTTTTTCTTGCATTCACCGGGTCGACGAATCCTGGTGCTGATTGAGTCCAATTTGGGAAATCATCGAACCGGTTGGGTATGTCACATGTTGCGGGGGGAACCCCAACAAATGACTTTGGTCTTCATGTTGATTTCCCTTTGTCCTTTACGCCTGCCATGTCCAAATCTCACCCGACGCCCACGCCCAGGGCCCGGCCAAGCCCTTGAGGGCGGGCCCCGTGGTGCCAGCCAGGAAGGTGGCATACCTGCGACCCAAGCCATTCGTCTTCCACAAACCGAGTGCCAGACATTGGAAGCCCGTCTTCTCTTTTTCGGCGCACCCTTTGTGGGTTGGTTCAACGTCAAACAAAAAAAGGAAACCAACTACTCTGGGGGCTGCGATTCCGTTGACACAAACCCCCCCAAGAAAGGAGTTTCGATTCCCAAAGGAGGTTCCTCTTGACCCTGCAGTTCCCACCAAGCCTGTTGTCGAACCATGTTACCTTTTGGTGTATGGCAGTTTATGCGATCGAAAAAGGGTCGGGGGTTGAAAAAGAACCTCTACAAATGGCGATTTGTTCGGGTTGCATCAAGTCTCTGGCCGCCCATGAGACAGGCAACAACATGAGGCGTCGCCTATATGATCCAAGAGCTCAGTTGCATGAGCCGTCTGAGTAGCGGATCAAACGACATGTCATGCAAGATCGGACTGACAAACCTCGAGCACAAGGTCGGGATTCATGAATCGGAAAGAACAAATCGCCAGAATTGGGATCCGTGGACTGTGATTGCGATCCAGCGCTCAAACGGCTCACCCCAAAACCAGAGCGCCCCAAGATACAGATACATAAGGAGCAACGCTGCGCCCGTCTTCGAGGCTCAACCAACGTCAAAACAACAAGTCAAAGAGCCACTTGCCGTTACCATCATCACAGTAACCAACAAGGGAAACATTCAAAAAATCAAAAAAACTGTTTCTGATCTTGAGAAGCCACAGAAACAGTCATTTTCATGACCCTAGTCTTGACTGCTGGTTGTTGATGAGGTGGAAATACCCAGCTAAAGGTAGCCAGGAACCGACTCAACTTGTAAAAAAACATTGTTGCCAATTGCGCAGGTTCTCTTGCAGTGACAGTGATGATGTCAAAAGATGCCATACCACCCATGAACCTGGAACCTAACAGGAGGAGATTCAGTTGGAGGAAGACAAACTATGTTGGTGTGAGACAAACTGACAAAATGCATGCAGCAAACGCATGCTATTCTGACCATTGCAAAGTCCGCCTTCGCGGTCAACACAATGTTCTTACAACAAGTCCAACAAGTGTTTGTTGTGTTTGGCCTTCAACCACAAAGCAATAATCATGTCGATCCGAAGCCCGCGAAAAGAAACATGCTCGGGGTTGCCAGCCCCAGAGCTCTCAACAACCTTCCCTCTTCGAAAAGTAGTGCTCCCTGTGAATAAAAATGCCATCCAGTGAACCCATTGAAGCCATCGGGCTGGGGGCCCAGGCTTCTGCATGGCCTGCTCCTGCTTCCGAAGCCTCCGGATGATCAAGATGCTGACAGAAAAGCGGAGCCATGTGTCAAAGGGGTGGTCATGTTTCCCGTAGGACTGCTCATAATGGTCGTCCAAGTTCTCTATGAAGGGGTTGATGAGCATCGTAGCACATGTCAAAGTGTGCTTAGATGAGTGGTTATGAGAGCCAGTGAAGTTCCGCGCGTCTCACTTGGGCTCTGGCAGGCTCTCCACCTGCTTCTCCAACCTGAGGATGTCTCATAGAAAAAGAAGCCGCGGGCTCGGAGGAAAAGGACATCTGGCCAAAATCATTCGAGAAATGTCAAGTTTTCTTCGATGTGGGTGGGTTGGTAGACATCGTAAAAACTGGATTAGAACTTCCCCAGCTTGTGTTCGTCGGCCGTACCGAGCCTGCTAAGCTGCGCCTGCTGCTTTGCATCCTTCTGCACCTTACATGGAGATAAACTGGACGCATGCAACGATCGTGCCTTTTGAAGGCTTGGCCAAGCCGGGGTGTCCCGAACTTGCATGCCGCACAATCTTTCTCTGATCAATGCGAACCAGAGCTTCCAACTCGCTGTCCCCCCCACCCCACTCTGACCCCGACCTGGAGGAGACCCCATGCCGAGTGCTTGCCGAGGCGCGTAAGTGGCCCAGCTCTTGAAGGTCGAATGCATCACCCCCTTCCGCTCACCCTCAATAAAGCGAGTCATCGCATCCTGCAAAGCGGAGACCCATCGACCACAGGCTGTGCAGGCTGCGCTCATTGCTGGCAAAGGCCCATTCCCTGTACCTCTCCAAACTGACATTAGGCCAACAATGTTGTCAGTTGCTGACACCCATGGAACCCCACCCAAAAAACTGCAGATTGTAATGCTGGTTCTCCTTGCACCCCAAGGAACGCTGAAAAACAACAAAACCAAAATGCCTGCCTGCACAGCCGTTCGCTTCTTGTTGGAGTCCTTCATCGCTTCCTGAGCCGGAACCGTAGGGTCTTATCTGCCCCAGTCCCCCTGCAAAAGTGTTCACTTGGGTGAGTGTTTTGAGGCTCGCCCTTTTCACCATGAGGGAAACTAAAAGCAAAACCATTCTTTTGTTGGTTCCGTCGGGGTGGGTTTAAGGGGAACCCAAGAAACGACGTGTTTTTTTGGCTTTGGGGGGGGGTCTATTTTGAGCAACCCACTTGTCGCTGGACAAAAATAACAATGAAGGAAGCAACCCCAGGCGCGAAAGGGCAAACATGGTTGGTGGAGTCTGGCAGAGTATGGAGGGGCTCTTGCCATTACATGCGTTCCACTGCACGTCTTAAGCACAAATCAACCCATGCTTACATATGGCTGCCTCGTTTTGAGGCTGCTCCTTCGGGAGTTGTCCATGAAATGAAGGTACAGCTTTGACGTCAATCCCAGACACCGTCAATCTTCTCCACATGATGAAGTACTCGGAGACGTCGACGTCATTCATGCCTCGATACCAAATCCAAAGAGGAGACTCTGCCAAATCCATCGCATCGGACATGTGTTTGAACCAGACCCGTTTCAGCCCTTCCGGCCCCTAAGGGAAACTGCGAAAAAGCAGGTGGTTCAAGCAACCTTCGTTTTAGCGTCTCGGTTGTCTTCTTCACGATGGACCCCCCCGAGCAAAAAAACGTGGCACAAAACTGTTTTCCTGCTGCTTTCCCCTCATCAAAAAAGGGGTAACACCAAAAACGGACGAGCCACCCATGTGGGTTGTCAAACCCAACATGGGTCTCTCGGTTTCCGGATCTCAGGGCCCTGGCTGAGGAACTTCCTGATGGCCAGCTCCGTCCTCAGAATGCCCGTAATGCCCCCCCTCCCCACCCCAGCTGTTTTTTGGGGTAAACCTCCAACCAAATATCCCCAAGTTCCAATTTGTGACGTTGGCCACTGAAGGCAAAGTCCGTGATGTTGCACAAGGCGCATCTATGTTGCCAAGCGGCTGTGCCTGGGCCTGTGCCTTTAATCTGTCCTTCTCGTTCAGAGTGCCTCTGAGAGCCTGACAGCTCGACTTCAAATCACTCTGCGGTTCTTTTGCTATCCTGGCACATCATTGTGGTTTCATCTGGCCGGCCCTTGCCACAGCCTGGTCGTGGAGGCTACGGAGACGCTCAGTCTCCGCCTGCGAGAGCACCACCAAACAAGCTCGAACAAACATGGGCACCAGCCCCAAGTGCCAAATAGTACTCTTCAATGATCCAAAAACACAAAACCTGGACTCTTGCATTTTCCAAACCTACCGCATCTGGAAACCAAATTGCTCAAGGAAAACAGAAAATATCATCGTTTGTGGACGACAAGCCTCCTTCTGGGACGCTTTCGGGGTCCTTCTTCTGCGGATTTGCCGGGGAGAGCGTTTGAATGGGGGTTCCACCTTTTGGGATATCAGAACAAATCCTATTTGGGTTTATATCCACCAACCAATTTCTTAGGGTCCAGCTACTGTATCAACTTGAGGAGCTGGTGAACGAAAGCTAGCAGTTGTTGCGTGAGATGGGTCGGTGACAGAGTGGATTCATAGGTAGCTTGTGTACAACGAGAGGCCCGGCAAGATTCGTAGGATGCGACACGCAAACGCACATGGTGGCGTGGCAAACCTTGAAAAATGAAAACAACGAGAGGCGTCAGAAGCTGTCTTAAAGCACCTCTGGGTTCTGCATGCAGCGTGTGCAAAGATTCTTGCGAGGTGGTTTACCGAGAAGACTGAGGTCTCAAGTGAACAAGCTGAATCGGTGGAACATGTAAAAGTTCGTAGCACCAAGTCCAAAACGGGCAAACCGAGACTGCTGAACACTGAGCCACTGCCCGGGGGGGGGGGGATGGACCAGGGAGGAATCGAGCCTGAGACCCGGGGGGGGGGGAGGGGGGGGGGGTCTAAATAATTGATATTTTTCAATCTTTTCGGCTCAAATAATTGAAAAAATCAATCTTTCGGCATTTGAGCCCCTTACCTTGCTTACGCAAGGAGAAACTTCAGCTAGCTAAAGCTAGCTTTCGTGAAAAGATCGGAGGGAAAAATGGACCTTGCCCCCCCCCTCCCGCATAGCATCGGCCTCCCAATGCTCCCGCTGATGTTTCAGGACATCCTCCTTGTCCCTCTCTGCCTTCTCGCCTCGACTGCTTGAATTCATCAAGCTTACCGGACTATTGGACTTTGGGGGCGCGTGTTTGTCAATGGATAATATATATATATATATATATATCAGTTGCATATTTGTATAGTTCATGTGTTGCATAGGTTGTGTATTATATATATATATATGCAGAGAGATATGAATTCATTATGTTATGTTATATAATATGTTCTTTAATTGTATCATATGTTTTATCATAGTACATCTTGTGTAACAGCATATTATATTATATATAGCATACCATGTATTATAGTATATATTATATTATGCTATATCATGATATATCATATTGTATTACATGCTTTATCGTATATTGTATTATATACTCTAATATGCAATTACTATATCATATTGTATAGCCTATTATATTATACTCTACTGTATTTTGTCATAGTATGGTATGTCATGCTATATTGTGTTGCGTTGTGGCATTATATACTAGATAAGATACGGCAAATATTTGCTGCATCTTTGAATTCTTTTGCACTCCCACTTTGTCTCCAACCTGCACCCCTCGCATTCCAACATGTAACATGACCCTCCCTTGTTTTGAAGGTGTTCCACCTCCTATTGCACCTAACTCAGTACGTTACCCCGAAAGTGTGTCCGCGCAGCGTGTACTGTAGTCGGCTGAAAATCAAGGCAGTCATATGCATACACGTATCGTGCTAGATTCTTTGCCGCTTAGGCCATCAAACATCCCAGCGGCTCTTGGTCAGAGAAACCCAGTTCTTGAAGGCGGCGATCAGCGCGGCCTCTCAGGAGATCCATTCGGCACCTACTAGTATCTTAAGTCTTTCTCGGATATGGAAGATTCGGACTTTTGGTGATACAAAGATGCAGGGACAAGACGTCTGTTGAAATTGACGAGCGTCGTTCTTGCGTGTGTGTGGGCGTTCCTTCCGAGATGGATATACACCTGTCCGCTTTCACCTTTCGCCCTCCAGTCGGGAAGCTGGGCATGCCGCAACTCATCCACTGGCATGAACCAATCCATTGTGCAAGGCCTAGCCCTGAAACTTGACTGCCTTGCCAAGGTCTGCATTGTCACAACATATCGTTAGCCTTCTCCTTGTTCATGAAGGATGCCAGCAGGGACGCATGGACGGCCTGCATTGGCAACAGCTCCAGCAGCCATGGATGAATTTGAGGCAAAGTAGAAATCGCAAACAAAATGTCCTCCCAACTGGTCGGCTTCTCATGTTTCCTTTTCAACACACCTTGGCCCCAACGAAACGGGGTCCGGTTGTTCAACTGTTTCACCCAATTCTGCCCCTCGCAAATGGCCCGCAGCAGGCCTGACGGCTGCGCTCCGACTGCTTGGACTGCTTGGTGAAGGTTGCCCAAGCCTGGAAAGCCTTGGTGAGAGTCGGCGAAGACAGGGGTCCCTGGCGGAATTGTTGAAAGTTACGGATTGTTTCAACCTGAGGGAAATTGTTCGTTTGCAGAATGTCCCTTGTTGGGAAATTGTTTGTTTCAACCCGAGGGAAAAAAACCGTGAGGTTCATGAAATGGCAGAACCACGGCCCAACCTGGGAACGAAAGTACTTGCATCTGGTTCGCTGAGGCTAGTGGAGAGGCTTGCAAGGACCCGAAGAGCCATCCGCGTGTTGGACACATTCAACAGGAAGATTTGGCCGTTTGGAATTGATGATTTGCTGTTCTGGGCTTTTGCCCGTGTTGAAACTATGTTTTGGGATTGCGTATGTTATGCCGTTCCGTTTTGGGATGCTTGGATATAATGCGGAAAACACACATTGCGCGATCACACGCCAACATTGATAGTCAAAGTTGTCTGCAACTGGGCGCATGGCAGTCTTCTTGTTGCCCTTGTCTGCACCCATGGCCCACCTTGGACAAGGACGCCTTTGCTCGGGAATGTTTGATTCCACTTCAAAGGAGCAGCGACTTGCAGCGCTGTCTCATGCAAGTATCTCAGCTTGGGTTCTGCACAGGATGCCTTCTTGCTGTCACAATTTGCGATATGCCAAGCAATAAGAAGAACTCGTGATCAGCTAGGGGATGGGTTGTCTTGAGTGTACGTTTTCAATTGTGGGTTTCAAGAGAACTTCATGGAAAACCACCATGCCCAGGCCCAAATCACTCCAAAGAACTGGGTGATGAAGCTGAGCGCATGACTTGCTCACGGATGCCATCACGCTTTGGTGCGCCTTCGCCATCGCAATCTGCGCCTGGCAATGTGGGCGCCAGAAGTTGGGAAGAAACTTCTATGAAATCCGATCTGTAGTGTCCCCTATGTGGGCCTTCAAAGGAAACTGCGAGGAAACCATCCCACACAAGTGGCCATCCCCTTGACTGGGCGCTTTGAACTCTGGAGCATCTCCGTATACTATCTGTGACGTAGCAAATGCGCCACAAGCGCCGCGCAACACGAGAATGTCTCATTCACTCGTGCCGACAAGCTTGCGTCCGCCTCCCTGCAACCAAACCGTTTTGCTATAGCCACACTTGCTCCCCAGCTGTGCACAGTTCCTGAGACGCGCTCGAAATTGATCCACACCATTGAACGATCTTTCGTCTCACAGCACAACTTCTTTTCTGAAACTTCCAAAACCAGAAAGCTTGGCCCCGCCCCCCTATCGAGATAGGGGGGTTTTGCACGGAGGATACTCTTCCCCCCCCCCCCCCCAAGAACCCCAAAACTCAGGCCCATGGGCCAGTTTCCTCTTCAGAAAACCCCTCTTTTAGCTTCCATGTTTGAGTGTGTCTTTCTTGACGCTTTGACCATTTTCGGCGTCTATTTTAAGACATTCTAACATGCTCCTTTGGTTTGGCATTTTGGCCCCTTTCCGACTTTCCAAGCCGCGCTTGCGCTTCTTTCCTCACAGCTCCTGCCGGACCGGAAGACCCCATCCACACAGCGAGGGCCGGGGCAAGCGCCAGGAGAGGGGCTCACCACCCTTCGCCTTCGTCGCCCTCAGTGCCTCGGATCCAAAAGAAGCGCCTTTCCCGGGCTGGAAAAGCCCGGCTGTGTACATCATTCTACACCTCATTCTGCTTACCGGTTTAAACCACGGTTTAAACATCCTCTGTGTCTCTTTCAAGGAACCATGTGCTCTGCGGTTAAACAAATGAGGTGCCCAGCACTTGCTGCAGAGACGCCAAAAAGAAGGCCAAGAAGGCAGAGCGGGTGGCTGAGCCCTTTTGGCACGTCGAGGTGGCGACAAACATAGCAAAGTTAGTTTGAGCAGTTGTTAGTACAACACTTTTTGGGTATTGTAAAATCAGTGATGTTGTGATAAGCACAGTGGAATATTGGCCACCGTGCTCAGTGCTACACGTTTGAAAGCACTCCCTTGGCTGACCAGGTTGCACACTGATCTTGGCAAATTGTCAGAATTCACAAACTGGAAGGCAAGGATGAAATCGTCTCACGTTCAGACAAGCCTATAGTTTGCCCAGATCTATCTCCCATACGGGGACCCTTTGGTGGATTTATCTCAATTGAGGAGTTCTGTGTACCGGCCACTTTGAGGGTTCTCAGTCCCAGTGAAACCAATGGGCCATGTCTAGGAAACGGTTGTGTTCAGTTCCGACTGCTGAAAATCTCCGC